GTGTGTGTGTCTTTAGTTTGTGTGTTTCTATGTGTTTTTCTCTGTCTGTCTGTCCTGGTATTGTATGCGGGTCAGATTGACCCGAATCTCTTATGAAGGATATAAAAACAATTGTCCACATGTCCTTCACAATAAATAAGCCCCGGCCATTGAGTTTCAGGTTGAACGAAAATATCCTTATATTTTTTTGTATTCATTGAAAATGGAAGTCGGGTCAATTTGACCCAAACACCACACAAGGGGAAGACTTACATACCCATTCAAAGGAGAGATGTTGGAGTCTGTGTGAGCTGCTTTTACACAAGAAAATGAAAGTCTACACAGTGCCCCTTACTCCAAGACATCAATAGTTCTGGGCTCCTCTCTCTCACATTGCTCTAATGAAGCCATTTATATAAGTGACAAATGTGATCATCCGCCTCTCTTTCTTCCTGTCTCTTTTATCAACTCTACTTGAAGCTGGTGTTCAGTGTGTGTGTGTGAGAGAGAGAATCATTAAAAATGTATAGCAACTCTCCAAGCACTGTCCTGACAAGCCACTCATGCTCATTGGGTATCAGTCATTAAAATGTAGCAAAGAGGCCAAAGCGTGGGCTACGTTGGTGTCGGGTTTCTCATTCAGGCTGTGGATGAATTTTTCAAAGTCCTATTACCTCTACAGGCACCGCTGCTGATGTCTCAAGGCTGTGTGCTCTGACGCTGCTGTTGTTTGTCTTTGCTGTTGTTGTAGCTAAGGCGTGACAAAAGCAGAATCAACAATAACAACATGAGTCTTAGGGTGGCTATACTGATTCATGTATTACTGCTTGTTGACAAGGCTGATTCTAAAAAAGGTAAGTTGCTATTTGTTATCTTGCAAAGCTTACATTTGATGAAAGAGCTTTGTCTTGCAGGTACTGTGTATACTGAGAAAGTTGGGCCTCAATTGTTCAATGTCAGCTTGTAATACTACTTTCAGAGGTTGTATCAGGTTGCTGGAGAAAAAGTTTCAAATAAATAATTGAGCACGGAAAGAGCTAAAAAGTATATTTTCCTTTTGACAAGAAATTAAACTTGAGTTTTGTAATTATAAGGTGTCAAATGTGGAGGAATCCTCTCTGCTCCGTCTGGTAATATCTCTAGTCCAAACTTCCCTGGCCTGTATCCCTACAACATCGACTGTTCCTGGCTCATTGTTGTGGCCGAGGGCTCCTCCGTCCTCCTCACCTTTAACCACTTTGAGCTGGAGTACCATGCCAACTGTGCTTACGACTACATCAAGATCTACAATGGCATATCCGAGGATGAAGGGAACCTCCTTGGGACATTTTGTGGTGACATCTCCCCTCCTCAGTTCACATCTTCTTGGAATGTCATGTCCATTATCTTCCATTCAGACCGCCATGTGGCCTACAGGGGCTTCAGTTTTGGCTACAGAAAAGGTAACTCATTATCTTTGATGCAATGTGACAGGGATCGGTGGGCCATCTGCCCAAAGCTTGAGTTAATTTTTTTCTAGCTGTAATAAAATCCATGGCTTTAAGCTAAAACTTCTTAACCTTAGGAGAATTTAGATCTCACAAAATCATTATATAGAAAAAACTCTTAAGACATCCTTATGTCTCTGTAAGGCTGTAATTAGGCAAAGTGGTGCTTTGCGCTAAATGTCAACATCAGCATGCTATCATGCTCACAATAATAATGGAAGTTGCATACATTCTTATGTTTAGCTACAATGTCATCATCTGCGTTGAGTGTGTTATCATACTAACCTTTGATAATGAACCCTTAACTATAGGCTATAGGGATTGTCGTTGGAAATTAGACTCGGCACAACATGAAAGGTTATTGTTCCCATTCACATCATAAGTGCAAGATGCATCTGAGTTTGCCTTCTTTTCTCTATAGATGTGTGTGGTGGAGTCCTCACAGGACTTTCAGGTGTGATCTCCAGTCCAGGCTACCCTCTGGAGTACAGCAACAATGCTGACTGCTCCTGGGCCATCCACGTGTCCAACACTAGCGTGGTCACCTTGGTCTTCTTGGACTTCCAGCTGGAAAACAACGAGGGGTGTAATTTTGACTTTGTCGCCCTGTTTGATGGCCCGACAGTCACCCATCACCACCTGGGCAAATACTGCGGGGCAGATAGACCTCCTATCATTGTCACCACCTCCAATCATCTTCTGGTGCTCTTCAAGTCTGACTTCAACATTGGTGGGCGTGGGTTCAAGGCCTACTATTACTCAGGTAGGAAAGTTTAATGTAATACGTTTTATTTGAAAATGCAATTTAAATTCCTTTGAGTATTTTACCCTATTGCCCCTTTATGCTTTTTGAATAACAACAGGAATTGGAAATGTAACAAAGGACAAGGTGAAATACTTCAATATGAGACTTTCAGGTTATCATAAAGCAGCTGTTATTCAATAAAATCTAATTCAGAAGAGAAAATCTACCATGAAATAAAAAAAATAAGATCAAAAATATTACATCACACTGAACATTTGAAACAAGACAAAAATGACCTACAAAATAGCTCTAAAGATGTTGACGTCTGATGAATGAAAATTGAATACCACTGCAACAATGCAAATCAGTCATCACCGTCCCTACAGCAAGAAGAAAACAATTCCACACAGTAAAATTCCTTGAGTGTTCGAGTCAAAGCCCAGACTTAAATCCAATTCAAGCACTGCATAATAACTTTTTAGACAGCTGATCACAGAATGTCCCCGTCTGACCTTGTCGAGCATAAACCAATTTGCAAGAGGATGAAAATCCTTCAACACAGTTGCAAAAGGATTGAGACAGATTTGAATTACTGTATCATTAATCCTCACTTATTTAATTTGTCATAAAATAATGCTTTTCACATTATTTTGAATCTATTTTGAATTATGATGACCACACCAGTGAATGAACTGTTAGACAGTTTAGGACATAATAGACACTTCTTATTTGGTAACACTTTCAATGACTCCCGTATCTATGACGCATGGAAAGAGAGATACTTTTACAAACATGAACTTTTACTTTTGTGGTACTCACTTGAATCAAACATTGGAAGCAGCATCCTCAGAAAAGTAATGTGTTATAAATAGAGTTGACTAACTTATCTGATAAACTGTACTTAACAGATGAGTGCCAGCAGGTCCTGTCAGATGTAAACGGAAACTTCAGCAGCCCGCACTTCCCAAACATCTACCCAAACAACATCAACTGCCACTGGAGCATCACTCTAGCGGCTGGGTACCGCATCAAACTCTTCTTCCCTGTCATGGACTTGGAAGACCGCAACAGTCTGTCAGACGAGTGCGACTACGACTCTGTGGCAGTTTATGACGGGGAAAGTCAGACGGACCCCCTGCTGGGGTGCTGGTGTGGTAGAGATCCCACCCCCTTTCTCGTCTCCAAAGGAAACAAGTTGCTGGTGGTCCTCAACACAGACAGAAATGAGGCTCACAGAGGGTTTACTGCTTCTTATCTTGGAGGTAAATGTTCCCTACCAAAGCATTTGATTCATTTCAGAAGGAAAAACATCTTATTTGTATCTGTACTACTTCTACTAAGGGTGCACCCCCTACTGCTACTTTCTAAATCTCAGCTAAAAATACTCTTGGCTAGACTCTAATATGCAAAAATGGTTTCCATGTTGTTTAAAAAAGTTATAACTATGTTTTTTTACCCCTTAATCCAAGTGGTTCCTGTAAACATTAGCTGCACAAGATCAGAATTTACCATACTGATACCACAGCAGTCCTTGCCTCAGCTGGACAGAGAGAGCATCTACCTGGGAGACACCTCCTGTACAGCCCAGCTCACAGCCACCTCATATAAGATACTTGCTCAGTTTGTCAACTGTGGAACTGCTGGACAGGTGACTATCCCGTATCCTGTCACTTTCAGATGCATCAAATTGGCAGAATATTAACCGTACTTTAGCTGGAAAAGAGATGTTTTGTATGTCTTGCTTTTTTCTAATACTGTAACTCATGATCCCTTACAGAAAATTCGGAACATCACCGTGCTGGTGAACAAACTCTACATCGATTTCTCTGATGGGAAACAGCAGAATGTGCAGGAATATAGAGTGCAGTGCGACGCCCTGAGGAAGATAGCGTCAGTCTCCATCATTTCAGCGGAGGAGCGTCGTCTGGAGGAGCAGGCCAAGCAAACTGACAAAAAAAGTCCTGAAGCTCCAGGGGGTCCAGAAGCTGTGCCTCATGACCTGAGTGATGTTGTCTTCATTAGCATCTGTGTTCTGGCTGTTATTCTCATGGTGATTGCTATCATTTGGCTGGTGCTGCTTTAGTAATATATGTTAATGACCTTATATGACAAACGAGGACTCAAATGCTTAAGTTGGCATATTTTCAATCATATTTTTTTTATAAAGAAATGTTCACCAATAGTATAAAAACACATAATTTACAAAAAACGTTTATGATTCCAGATAAAAGACGACATTATCATCACCATCAACAATAAATTATTCTCGACTGTGTTTTACATTCAGTTATGAAACAGTGTAAGGTTGCTGATGTACCACAAAGTGTAAACATATTTTGTATCTCCTTTACAGAAAATAATAAAAAGATTAAAAAATCAAATGCATCAAAAAGATTGGCAATGTTCAAGTAAAACCATCCAGAGGTCTTTACACCAGTTATTTTTTGTATTTGGAAACCAGCTGGTTGACTGACATTGTGTTGTCCTTCACTTGAGTTCTGATTTCTGGGTTGTGTTTGAAGGCAAACACCAGCGCTCTAACGGTCCGTCTGTATGAACCGCTGAGTAACCGGGAGCTCAGGTGAAACACGTCTCTCTCAATGTTGTCTATTAGCCCCGAATCCTCCTGTAGGCCAGATAAGAAAATAAAAAGAACCAGAATACATAAAAAAACAGGCATACAAAAAGATGTCAATGGTCTTGAATCAAACGTACTGTGTATTTGTATAAAGAGTAACATGATGAGAAAGAGGTTTTTCCAATCAAAATTGTACTTGTAGAATGTATTATACATTAGTCATCAATTTATATTACCAGACTACCGCAACCGGTGTAATGTCAAATGTAAATTAGATGTGAGGTACAGAATAAGTAGTAGGCATCACATTAGACTTCACTGAGACGCTCCTTCTCACCTTGACCTCCAGGGCCTCAGACATTAGTCTTCTGGCGTTGCTCCGGAGTCCTTCAGATTGTTTGTCGGAGCGCACTTCAATAGACGGCTTATTGGAATTCTCCTCAATGAATGTCCTCCAGTCAGTGTAAACCTTTGCTGCCAATGAACTAACTTCAGGGTCCAGGTGCTTGCGCATTTTGTTGACAGTGTGACCTTAGAAGAGAGAGAGGTTTTCATAATGTGTTGAAATAAACAATGTGAATCTGATTCAGGGCCTGGCAGGTATTAGTGCTGATGTAACAATGCAGTCAACTACAACTCAGGACTTGAACCTAGGGCTGTGCGATAAGGAAAAAAATATTACCATGTTTTACAACACAATTGCAGGGTAAACTATTGAAGCTTTCACCAAATATTTAAACAATCTAATTTGTGGTTATAATGAAAAAGTGTGTAAAGGCAAATCATTGAAGGGCTAGTACAGTCAGGTTAGGTTCAGAAAATAATATCCATTTACTGTAAGCAGCCTTTAAAACCAGGAAAAGACATTTAAGCAATACTACAATATCCAAAATGTAAGAAGATATCTAGTCTCATATCATGATATTTATGTATTATTGATATATTGCTCAGCACTTGTTGTAACTATGCAGTAGGCTATGTCAATCTTTGAGATATTCATTAAATTAGTTTGAAATAAGATGGTTGTTATACAGTCAGTGCTCAGTACTGTACATGCTTAAGATGTATAATACATGTTTATGCTTTCCATATCAACACAGCAACCAGCAAATTGTAAAATAACTTGTTGGAGTTTCCTTAATTCACCTATTTTAGTGGACTTGAGCACCTCTCTGGATGGGATCTTCTTGCCGAGCTCTGTGAGGGCAGACAGCAGGTTGTCCTTGCTCTGTTCTGGCAGCTCCAACATGGACTTGTAGCGCATGATATCCTCAATCACAACCACCCTCTGTCAGCAAAACACAAGGGCAATGAATGACCAGAGTAAGTTTGTCACAAAGTAACACTGACTTTGCCTGATCATCACATGTAGGACTCATATCTCACCCGTAAAGATTCAATTGTAGTTTGTTTGTAAACCTTTCCGTTGCTTTTGGATTTTGTAGGTGTTTCCCCCTTGGGAAGTCGCACTACAAACTTGTCCATCTTCAAAAACAAAGTAGCAAGATACCTATTAGATTAAGACAGGCAAACTGATAAGAACTGCTGTTAGCACTTAGGTATATAATGTTGCCCAGCTAACTCTAACCTCCTTTTGAAATTCAGTGAATTGAAGCCATTGTCAGCTTGATTCAAGTCATTCCTTCATACTACACTAATAACAAGTTTCCTTCATAACCACAACTGTGACAAATCAGTTTGGTTAGTATTGCTAGCTGCAGCTGAATTGCTAGTAAACAGTAGCGACCGATGTTGCCTTCAGGTGCTGGAGAAATTACCAGAATACCAGTATGCTTGTTGAAATCTTAGACTGGTTGAACCCGAACCAATAAAATGGAAAGTAAATTGTGCGGAAAGTATTGTGCAATACATACAAATGATAAGAATGAATTCAGAAAGAAAATTGTAATATTATTAAACTACAAAAAGCTTCAATATTCAGTTTTTCTTATTCTCTGTGTAACATTAACTCTTAATTTGAATTCCTTTTTTAATTATCTAGGTATCTCCTAAAATTCATGAAAATAAAACATTGTTGGTTCATAAAATAAAAACATGCTGATTCTCAACCAATTTGTTGTTTAATTATCTATCATGTGAAGGATTTAACAGTTTACGAGGAACACTCAAACACAGCAAAACATTCAGGAAGTCTCGCGTGAGGCAGAGTTCCCGTGATATAACAGGCCGATTAGGGAGGAGGAAGAAGAGCGTGTTGTTTGTTTAGGTTTTCGCAGACAAAATGGGGACTCTCTCCTCCTTTGTTTGTGTGTTAGGACTTTTCGTCCTGCTTGCGTTCACATCAGCATCTACTGATGCTTTCGACAGCGTGTTGGGAAACACGGCATCCTGCCATAAGTCATGTGAAATGACATACAGTTTGCACACGTATCCACGGGTAAGTACTCCTTCCGATGAGGAAAGTAATCTCTGCTAGTGTTAGCTAACGTTGGTAACTTGGTTGAGCAGAAGTGTAAACCTCACTTTGTCACAACGCCTTCTGTCTTGTTAAATGTTGCAAAGGAGAGCTCATGCAAAAGTTAATGGCGTTATATATATTTCACGGTTGTTGTTTGTGTTGCCATTTAACGGGTCATGTGGTTTGTTTTTTAGGAGGAGGAACTGTATGCCTGTCAGAGAGGCTGCCGCCTGTTCTCAATTTGTCAGTTTGTCCGTGACATTGATGATCTGAATCAAACCAAATCCGAGTGTGAATCAAGTAAGTTATGCATTTAGCTACTGACCTATTTTATTCACCAATGCAAAGTGTCCAGGCCTTTATGATACCATTCTGAAGTAGTCACCTAATATAAAGCTGTAAACGGGTGCGCCTCCTAATAATAAACCCTGATATTGGCACACCCAATTGCATAAAAGGTAGACTAATTATACTCCTTTTGTCAAACCTGTTTCAACTGTTACTTCTTTTTACATCCTTTTTTTTTTTTACAGCCTGTCGTGAAGCCTACACTCATTCTGATGAGCAGTATGCATGCAACCTGGGCTGTCAGAATCAGCTTCCATTTGCTGAGCAGCGAAATGAGCAGGTACAATCAAGTGTGAATCAATGAGTAGCTGTAGGGATGGATGCATGGGTGTAATTTCCACTGGGGACAGGGGGGACATGTCCCCCCCACTTTTCAAAATCCCGTTTGTGTCCCCCCCACTTTTCAAATGTGTTTATTATTATTTTTTACGCAAGGGGTCATCTTCACGGAGGAGCGTCTGTGTGTGCGTGGCACAAGTGCATTTTGTGTGTGTGAGAGAGAGACACAGAGACACAGAAAGAGTTACTGGGGTTGTTGTTAGCATCTGGTGCTAGCTCGGAGCTAATGGAGATTAGAAACTCCCCCCCCAGAGGATGTCAGGTCATCACAAATAAAACAGGCTCACATGGACATTACACTACACATTTTTCTTGGATTAGTTAACACCATAGTCCCTAATATATTTTTAGAAAGGCAGGAAATGGAATTAAATCGAGAACAATGTTTCATTGCGGAGGACCCCCTGTTTTGTGTCCCCCCACTTCTCAAACCAAAGTTACACCCTTGGATGGATGTACACATTTCTCAATAAATAACTGTTTACTCAGTATTGCTTGCTTTTGCTTTGCAGCTTGAGGCCATGATGCCTAGGATCCACATGCTGTACCCCCTGACGCTGGTCAGAGGATTCTGGGAGGATGTGATGAATCAGGCTCACAGCTTCATCACCTCCACGTGGACGTTCTACCTCCAGGCTGATGATGGCAAAGTTGTCATTTTCCAGGTATTGTACTGAGTAGGGAAAACATAACAGACTAGGCAATCTTATCCAACATACTGTTTTCAAAAATTACCCTGTTAAACATATTCTGTGTAACAGACTGAACCACAAGTCAAGTTTTTCACCCAGTTTGAAGTAGAAAAAGAAGTCAAAGAAGAGCCGCAGAGGAACTGTAAGTCCTTTTTATTTAATTTTCTTAAAATACACATTATGAATGAAGTTGTCGTTATTCTCTGCATTTCTTTATTATACGTATAAACGTGTGTTTGGGTATGGCCAGTATAGTCTTAACCTGACCTAGTGTAATCTTTTGATCACCCAAAAAATGCAATAGAGCCACATAGCTGTACTGAGTGACATGTTTGTTTGTTATATTGAATATTGAACATTGACACGAAACATTATTTTTAACCAACCTCACATACATCATCCTGCCACAATATATGCTCAGACGAGACCACCAAATGCTTCAGTGACTCAGTTTTGAGTAACATTTTCTAGAAACTACATTGCCCAGCTGTTTTACATAATAATTAAATGTAATGAAAGTACATCTCTTTGGGCAGTCTTTACTAGTTTGCATCTTCATATGCGGAGCAAATGTTTAACCTCTTTTTCTCCTTTTCTAGTCCCAGGGTTGGGCCCATTTTACAAAGAATACCACCGCACTTTAATCCAGGAGAGGGACAGAGATATGACCGGGGACCGCAGCTACGATGATGGATACAACCTCTTCAGCTGCCTTTCAAGGTTGGTTAGCACACATTTATCTATTTGTCAAGGGGCTTTTTAACTTGCTTTGCAAAGCACAATATTAGCAACGCTGCCCACACAAGCTCTCTGTTTGTTATGTCCTCCTCAGGAACCCTTGGCTGCCAGGGTGGATCCTAACCACAACCCTTATCCTGTCTGTGCTGGTCCTGATCTGGATCTGCTGCGCCACCGTGGCCACTGCTGTGGACCAGTATGTACCTGCTGAGGTAAGCTCTGTGCTTTTTTCTTTTTTTTTTTATTGGCTCTCGGGTTACTTTAAATCAAATTTTAGACATGTCTAATCCAAATGTTCTTGCTGAAATGTAGATGAGGTGATTAATACACTTTTTCATATCTGTAGTGTAAATATGTGGCTGGGGCAAACAACTGGTTAGCTTCAAAAGGTATTAAGGCATATAATGTTTGTTAAATCTGTACAAAAACTGAGATGTAACATCTGGTTGCCTAGCATCTGTATTTGTAAACCTTCTGTTTTCGTATGGATTAAATAAACAAGATTCAACATGTGAGCTTTTGAGGTGATGTGAGGCACATTTTGAACCTTCGGATAGATCATAGCGAACTGTTTCCAGTCTTTGTGCTGAATTAAACGTCATGTTAACAGTACAGGTGTACAGGTACATCTGGTTCGCAGCATTAAAGTTAATGAGTGTACTTTTCAAAATGATAATTATGATTCTATTGAGTGAAACGGGATCTGGTAAATGCAGAACTTGATTCTTAATTGATTCCTTATTCTTGCTTCATAATAAAGTTGAGTGTAATTATTTTCAAGGTTGTGGTTATATTTACTTCTGAGTACTGTTTATATTTAAACTACATTCCAATCATTTCTTTATTCTTCCTTTTTTAGAAATTGAGCATCTATGGTGACAGGGAGTATTTATGTGAAAAGAAGCTGACTCCATATCCAGCCTCCTCCCTGCTGATCATTACCTCCAAAGGCCCTGAGGAAGAAGCCGGGCCCCTCCCTTCCAAAGTCAACCTGGGCCAGTCTGACATCTAGAAGCCAAAGCTGTAGCAAAGAAGCAATTTTAATGAATAATATTTAGTTGATTGTTATCCTCTAGCACAAGACACGTGCTTCCTTTGGTCTAAACAGGAGTAACTGCATTACTGATATAATGTCTCCTTTATTAATGCTTTCTAAATTAGATTGATAAAGGTTTTTTTCTGTATATTGGTATAATTGAGGCATTATAATATAGTGATGGCAGCAGTCAAATGTTTTGGAAGTTTTCTTTAAATTCAATGTGTGCGTTAGCTGGTGGTGTTGGTGTGCTTGTTTTCTTGAAAAATGTTGAAATGAACTATTTGTGACTTGAAGTGATACAGGTTTAATCCCATACCCTCAACTTGTAAGTAAGATTGTGCTAATATTGCAGACTCTCCCTGTTTGTTCATGTTTTTACTGCCATTATTTACAGATGATATTGAATTTTACAATAAAATGGTATGCTCTTTATCTTAACTAATGGTGACGGTACACACAGTATGTCTTTCCTGCTTTACGGTTGTCTGTTCTTTTAATGATGGATCAGAATTAAATACAATGGATTGACATAATTGACATGGGTGTGACTTTTTTTCAATCATTGCATACTCTAGCTTTGGAATTGGAATCAATTGGTAAACACATCTTGAACAAAACAATGTAGCTGTAAAAGTAACCAACGTCATACATTTCAAGGGGGTACATTCCTAAAATACTCCTTGTTTTAAATCTGAAAAATGTCCTTTAAAAAGTCAACTAAACTTCAGTATGATACCATATTTCTTGATCAAGTTACACTGCTGTAAATGTCATCTTTGGATCTCCAGCCTCTATGATTACAGTGAACATGCTAACATTTGATTATAGTGACTGCTTCCAATTAAAATCATTACACTTAGTCATTTAGTCTGAGAATAGCACTAGTTTCCTGTGTAGTGACAAGTCAACTGTCTTGGGGCTTGTGTGATGATGAATCATAACACATGTTTACCCTTGCACTGGAATTATAATCTAAGGTACAATCTTATATTTTTTAAATCAACAGCTACAGTTTACGTAGCCATATTCATTGTTTGCTTTAGTGTAAATATCTTAAATATGGCATGACATAAACGAGTGTGATGACTGCTCTATGGTGGCATTTTAAAGACACAGCAATTACACGATACATACAAGATGTTATTCACGGCTGAATGAACCTGCTGGGTGGCCAGCACACACACAAAAGATCCGCTAGACCCCCTATTAACCCTCTTTTTCTCCAACTCTGTGCTGCATACTGTGTTTCTGTGTTGGAATACTACCTAGCCTCCAGGTTTACTGTGTGGTAATTTGATTTACAGCGGAACTGCACCGATTTAATACATCAAAGTCTGTTTACAGGTCTTGCATATGTGAAAAAATATGATGTATAAAGTGTTTTGTGGCTTAAGGAGCTTAAGTGTGATAAATTGCCTAAAGTGGTGTCGCTTGTATCAATTCGGGCTGAGGAATATAAATTTGGAAATTAAAAAAATATTTGGTTGTGGCATAAAACCATGTTAGTGAGCCCTCCAGTCCATTGGTCTAGCTGCTGCTGTTGACACCGGGTTTCAGTGCTGCGTATTCCTAAGCAAATTTTGTTTAAATATTAGAATCAATTTCAAACACTGTTAGCATGGAGCTGTTTCACTGCAATATTCCACCTTGCCCTGTAAGTAATTAAGTATTGATGCAATAGGCAAAACAATTGCCATATGTTGTATAATGTGCACTGTTCAAAAATCCTCTAGACCGTTTCCAAACAGCAAAATGAAAGGCAAGGACATGGAGACGTACAAAATACTACACTTTATTTATAAAAATATATACACATAACACCACCTGTATCCAAGACGGTTCATCAGTTTGAATTATCTAGAAACACATTATTGTAATTTGCACTTATGTGTTAGAGGTAACCTGCATACCAAAGCTGCTCTCTGCTCTTTGTGGCATGCTACAAGGGCGAATAGTTCAGTAGTTGTTCAACAAGTCAAGGTCCTCTGCAGTAAGAGCTGATGAGGGAAGACGTTTGGTTGGAGGACTTTGACGTGAACTGTCACACCTCTCTGACTGACGCTGCCTTTTTTTTAGATTGTGCCAGGAAGGTTTGCCTTGTTGATTTGTTGTGGAAGGAGTCTGTTTCTCAGGTATGTGACTGTTTGCTGCAGGTCTGAAGAAATGCAGTCTCTCTCTCTGGGCCTCTTCCTCGCTCTCGCATACCAAGGGTGCTGCATTCAGCACGTCTCTGACAAACTTCTGCCTGCCAACTACAACAAAAACAAACACTGTAAAGTCTGTCTTAGACACTGTGTCATCATCATTAATTCTAAAAAGTATTACAATGGGAATGTAAGGTAAAATAAACTTACAAAAGTGAAGTGCTGATGTTCTGGATTCATCCATTTTCTTCAGTTTTGGCATTTGTGAGTTATTTGTTTCCCACTGGTTTACCACCTGGAAAGGAAACAATGCATTTATTCATGAGATGTGAGCCAGCACTAAATTGCAACATTTAGCCTTTATTTGAAGAACAGTGCTTACATTACAGAAACGTGTTTCCTTTAATCATTGTCTGAATATATTTACCTGCTCTGCCCAGCCTTCTGTTTTACATCTCGAGTGATCAAAGCTGTCTAATGATTTCTCAGAATAAATTAGCCCCAACAGATCCCATATGGTGGTCTTCAATCCTGTGCCAAGCTAGAAGTATAAATTACATTTAGATGTCAGCATCACAATAATTTGCAGCTAAACGTAATGCACAGTAGTTAGTGTCGTACCTTCAAACTGGTCCCAGATACATCAAGATTTTCAAGTTTGGGGAAGCATGTGATGTATCTTAAAGCCCTGACTGATATAGGGTTATCTGTGCAGGAAAAATAAGAATGATTAAACAGGCAATGATGAATCTGAACCCGTTTTAATTGTGGAGGTGGTAGTATCTGCACTAAAATGGGAAAATAGTTTGGTTACTAACAGGAAACGTCAAGTAACTGAAGACAGTCCAGTCCTTTCCTCAGCATCCGAATAGGTGCAGTAAATCTTTGGAGGCCCACGTCTGACAGCCTGTTACCGCCAATGGAAAGCTGCATTAGGCTGCTGAAAATGAAAGGCAGAATTGTTAGTAACATAGCTTCATATATTTTCCACATCATATCTTTGGGACTGACAAATCAAGTATTACCTTGCCAATGAGCTTGAGGATGTTAAATGCTGGAATATCTCATGATCATCACCCAGTCTGCAGCCAAACAGATCCAGACACTTCAGACTATGAAATGTTTTTATTTCATCCATCCTCTCATGCAAGAGTGGAAATCTGCAAAAATGAAAAAGACACAAAATGCTGTTTCTGTCTCGGGCACATCAAACTGAGTCTGGATATATGTTGGCATGATAACTGACCTATTTCTCAGACAGAGGGATCCAAGCACCATCTCCCCATAAGCGTCACTGAATAACTGCAGGGCTTTTGAGGAAATGTCTGCGTTTAAAAATACACGATTCTCCTCTGCTGCTGCAAACAGCCTGTCTCCTATTTGATCAGGGAAGCCCACCAGAGAGTCCACATGGTGAATGTTGTCAGCTACGAATAACAGAGTGATGTCAAAGAGAGATTTGGTTGTGTATCTCAGACTTCCCTCTGCATTGTAGGTGAATATAAAGTTCTCTTTTCTCAGCACAAAGGGATTTGTCCTTCTGAATGATGACACAGGCTTTGGCTGGGCCAGGACTATGTCACTGACACGACGAAGGTTTCCTCTTTCTCGGACATAAATGGCGCTATTTTCCATCTTAACGTATTTTTGTTTTCCTGTAAGAAGGACACTCTTAGCAGATGCACAAAAGTCAGCTTCCAAGTTGCGTTCAAAAACAACTTATGCATTAAAAAAACAAAAGTACCTCACTTGTGAGCTAATCCATGGTCGTTGAATGAGCTAAAACCATGACCAAAAAGGACCCACAAGTCCTATGTGAGTGTCTTCTATTATCTGCTTTCTTTTCTCATCTTATTTGGCTTATAAAGCCAAGTTATTTGCTTGTATCAGAGTAAAGTACTTCGAGTTCCGTAGCCTACCGTGCAAGTTCACACAGTTGGTGGTGGTGGTCTCTGCTTGATAACTTCAAAATAAAAGCCCAATGCTAATATAAACTTATTTCAAGATCCCCAAAAACTCAAAAATAGATAGCAGATATCTTGCATATATTAACTTATACAAATGTGTTATGCAACCCATCATGAAACAGTTAATTATATTCTAAATTCAAAAGGTTCAATATCTTACTTTGAAAAGGTTTCGATACAGGAAGAAGGCTTGTTGACGTGCCCGGTATATATCCGGTTCCGGCCAACGCTAACCTAGCTGAGAGAAATTAAATGATTTTTAGAGGTGCTAATAGATAATTTGGTAAGCGTTAATTGTTCAGAAAATAACTGATATTGTGCACTATATTTGTTAATAAAACAGAGGCTGTCTTGATATGTTTACCCAGTCGGAAAATGATGTTATTAAGTTAGCTAATGTAACTGTTGGTGAGCTGTCAAGTGAGGACTTGGAGTTGGTAGCTAACTTGAGCTAACTTATAACTTTGTTTCTTTTTCACTGTGTTGCTCATAGAGTACACCATTTTTAACCATCATTCAGACACGGTCAACTTGGGGTTAAGCTATTTCAAATGTTGTTTCTTTATCCAACAGCTTGCTAAGATTACTTTTGATCGTCTTTGTGAAACATAAACTTGCCGATAAGTTCCTGTTTGACGCTCCACGTCACGGACAGGGAATCCGTGTAAATGGCGTCGACTAATGATCCATTCCAATTTCAAGGTAAGTGTCCTCCGGCATCCTTTATGTGATATGGAAATGAAGTTTACTCAATGATGATGTTATACAGTTTACTCGGCTCGCTCAAAGTCTCTATGGCACTTGTAAACCCACATCTCTCTAAACTGCTGCATTGTTATGCATCGGTAGCAACATCCACTTTTTTTGGATTCATATTTTCCATTTATCCTTGCTATGAAATTAGAATTTGAAGAAGCTGGCAATCTGTTGGAAGCCAATAGAGATGCAACCACCATCAGCATTGAAGATGATGACATGCCAGAGAGGCAGAGAAAGGCTGCTGGTTTCACTCCGGATGTTGATGACAAGGATCCACATGCCAGTGATGACAAGACAGAGGTCTGCACAACAATAACACTTTTCAAACGTATTTCTTACTTTTTGAACTATGAACTATTAAATGTTGTTGCTTCGAAAACGTACTTTATTAATTTTGCCCATCTCTATTTGTTTTATTTAAGCTCCTCTCTGGGCAAAATAAAAGTGCCCCCTTCTGGACTTTTGAGTACTACCAAAGATTTTTTGACATCGAGACCCATCACGTAATGCATTCATAACTTGTTTTAACACTGTGATATGTTGTCTTATAATATGGAGTTCAGAACATTAATATATTTGATTACATGTGTAATGGTTATTAACATTTGTTTCAGGTGAAGGAAAGAATAATTGGATCTATGCTGCCATGGCCTGGAAAGAACTTCATTCATGTCCACCTTCGTAGAAGTCCTGATCTTTATGGTTAGCACTTAAACAGTTTCACATTCAAGTCCTAATTATTAGAGGTTGTCCGGCTTCTTGTAATTTGGAAAAGAAGAGAAGTTTCCCTGTTTGTACTGTTGATGTAATGCTGTACTTAAATGTTGTACCACCAAATGGGCACACAAACAGAGTTTCTGATGCCTGATATTTGTGCTTTCAGGACCATTCTGGATTTGCACCACCCTTGTGTTTGCTCTAGCCATTAGTGGAAACTTTTCCAACCTCCTGCTGAATTTAGGCAAACCAGGCCATAAGTATAGCCCACAGTTTGGAAAAGGTAAGTGCTGTTATTTTTTAATATTATGGCTCAACATTCTCAGTTTGAAGGTAAGATGGAACTGAACATTTTACTTATTCATTTGTTTGTATTTGATGTGTTTTCCAGTGACAATAGCTGCAACAGCGATCTTCAGCTATGCTTGGTTTGTACCCCTTGCCCTCTGGGGTTGCCTGCTCTGGAGAAACAACAAGATCATGAATTCAGTGTCATATTCCTTTATGGAGATCGTCTGTGTATATGGATATTCCCTTGCAATATACATACCAGCAGTGGTAAGGCCTGATTTATTTGATCTCATAATAACAAGTGTAATATTGTCAATTGAATGATTACATCTAATAAAAAACGTTTTGATGATTAATGCTACTTTTCCCTGCATCATGCATACATTCAGAGCCTTGAATGTGTCTTGTAACGGAGATGAATATTAAACAATGCACTGTTCTTTCCCACACTAGGTCCTATGGATTATCCCATTTGAATGGCTGAGGTGGTGCTCCATCGTGGTGGCTCTCTGCCTCTCTGGCTCCGTTCTGGTGATGACTTTCTGGCCTGCAGTCAGGGAAGACCACCCCAAAGTTATTGCAGCAATAATGTCGGCCATTGTTCTACTCAACGTCCTGCTCGCTGTAGGCTGTAAGGTAATTGTGCTTGCTATAGCTTTGAAGCTGCTTTTACATCTGTTTACTGTTAGGATTTATTACAAACTTGGGAGCAATGGAAAATAAATCTGTTCAGGGAAATAAGATACAACATTTAATATCCTTCTTTGGCAAAACACTTATTTATTAATCCATTCAATTCAAGCTGCTTGTCCATCTCCTTGTATTTTGAGCTAATGAGAGACTCTCTCATTTGTCCTCAATGAACTCAGCGTGGCCAAGCTTTGACCCCTCTTGTCAAACACAGACACTACACTATACTACATGGATAGCATTTTGTATATCCTCCTTGTGTGTTTCTGGGAAATGACTATACCTGATAGTGTTAAGTTCACTCCCACTGAGGAGACTTTCTCAATAGGAAACTGTGACTGCATTGGCTAACTGGTGTGAGAATGGGCTATTAGCCTAACTGTCAGCTGCACAGAGCTATCATATGTCTGGTCTATGTAATTAGTCTACAAAGTAAGCTTGTCTCTGAAGGTTGACAAAGATGAATGGATTGCTATAATGCCGCGTTCTCTCTTGGAACACTGAACATTTGCAACACACTTACTTAAAGACACCGGCTTTTATTTTGATTGATTAGTAGTTTCTCTTGATATTTTAAATGCCGGATTGTTTTACACTTGTTTGACTCCTTTCCTTGTTTGCTTTTTTCCAGGCCTATTTCTTTAGCAAACCAGAAGCATCACTATCAGCTGCACCTTCTGCTGCACTGCAGTTGACCAAGGCACCGTCTGCGACATGAAGCCTTTCATTGTCTAAAGGTAAACAATAGTGACACACAAGCCTTTTAAGCCATGATCCTTTTGTACATCCACTAATAACCTGATAGGTGTGTGTCATCTTCCTCATCCTTGTACTTTTCATGGACTTTGTTTTATTCACATGCAATGGCATTCAAAATGACCTCCTATGGCAGTAGCTGCATTACACTGTTGGCTTATATTAGTGTTTTTTCTCAAGTGTTTTTTTTTTTTTTCTTCTAACCTGCTAAAGTAGCACATCCGACACCGGACTTCCTTTACATGATTTCTCCTTTTCAAACCAAGTGTTATATGTTTTTTTAAATTGCAGGTTCTCCTGTTGCCTTATTAGAGGGAATCAGGTTGCTGCAGTGATGAAGTAATGGGTCGGTTGGATTTCACCTGCACTCGGACATTCTGGCCCAAGACCTAAAACCCCAGTGTCAATGCTTGTTTCAATTGAATGACCTCTGGAAATGAACACTGGTACTAAGTATGTTATTTCTAATGGGATGGGTTCTCAGCTTCCTTAAAGATAAATGGGGTATGGTGTGACTCAGCAAATATAGGATCTCTTGCAGTATGGCAGTTTTCTGCTTTAAGGTCCTTTTTTCAAAGTACTTAAATAACTAGTCTATGCAGTAATGTTGGTGGCATCAAAGTGATTTTGTATATACATTTTTCATACTCAGTTAATGGGAACTGGCTAGTTAATTTTGTGTTATGAAGATTCTTTATTCACAGCATAATAATAACAACAGGTGTTAGTGAGAAATTCAAGACTTGGACTTATTATGAACAATTTTAGTATTTTTGTATCATCTTTTCTCTGATATAACCATAAGTGCCGCGAACTAATGCCAAAGACCCATTCTAAATGTCCAAGGCTGTTACACTTGTGTAACTTTTTTAAATAATTTGTTTTTACTTTGAATAACTGCATTTGATAACATGTATAACATTGAATATGTTCATTTGCAATGAGCGTTTCATGGGTAAACAAATAAAATATGTTCTTTGTGGGACCCACGCTTTTGATAAGATCATCATCAATAATAAAGGTATTATAAAAAAATTATTTACATTTACATCGCAAAGTGAACCGATTATTTGCAAACAGTTTTCACTCACATTAAAATACATACTACTATAAACCAAACTTTTAAAATGTGGGAAACGTACAATAAACAACATTAGATATTCAAATGGTTTTAAAGCAATCTACTGTAACACACTAACTATTTTTCATAAAGATATGAATTTAATATTTGCCATCTTTGTCTACTTCAAAACTCCTCTTCTGAACCTGAACAGTTGCAACATATAAATGCATAAAATGTTAGTTCACGACTTTTGTTCACCTTTTTTTATATAAGTTTATATGTATGAAAACTCACCGAAGCTCCCACACGTCTAGACAACATGATACACTTCTACCCGCTCCTGACAGCGGTAAAAGCTGCCAGTACATTTCAACAGTTGGACATTTTAAATATTGAAGGGATAGATTGTACCTAATTGGTATAACTTCAACATCTCAAAGAGAGCGTTCACTTTAAAAGTGGACATTTGGCTGCTGTTACTGTTTTCCTACTCATCCATCTTAACTGTCCTGCCTGATAGGATCTACTGTGTCACTGTTTGGATGCACACAGTGGAAAAATGTTACTTATGTATGTAAATCCTGTGTACAAGCACTCAGTGTGTACATTGCACGCAGGGGGGGAACTCTGTTAAGTTTATGATTTCCATTAATTAACAGGGGCAACGTTAGCTGATTAATCAACAAATTAGGAAAAACATTTTGTCACTTGAAACGGTGTCAATGGATGGTGGCGCCCTAATTAATGGTCATTCTAGCCCCAGCTTTGAGTTACACAGGAGGTGCCTGTCAAACAGATAACCCTCTTAGAGGAATGTTACCTGCCTCATCTGTAGCTGCTCCAGCTTGCGAAGTGGATTTACCAACATAATGCGCAAGAACTATTGGAAAAGCTTGTGAGTTATAACATTAGTTTGAAGTAATTGCCATTTTAATTTTCTTTTTTCTGATTTGGAGAATTTATCACCACAAGATGGCCACTTCACAAGGGAAAGGTGAAAAAGTGTCCAAATTTGAGACATTAAGACTTTTGGAGAAATGCAGAAAGGAAAGAGATGATGCCATGCACAGAGAAGGTGTTCTCAGAGAGAAACTGAGACAGTATGAGTCCAGGATGCGTTCAACTGATGCTCAGAAACAGAAGCTGAAGACCTTGGCGGTTGAAAACAAGGAGCTGAGGAAACAAGTGAAGGGTCTTCGCACTGAGATTGGACTTGAGTGCAACCCTAAGTTCACTGGAAAGACCACAAAGGACATAATCAATGACATGCAAGATAGGGACCGTGAGTGCAGTTCCCTTGTGGAGAAGACTGCCAAACTGAGTCTGACCATTGATGATTTGACCTCTGAGTTGGCAAACACAGTCACATCTGAAACACTTTTAAAGGATCAAGTGCATTCATTGCAGCAAAATCTCAAGGATATGACAAATAATCAACGCCGCCTGCTGAAATTGTGGGAAGACAAGAAGGTCCAGAGGGATCAACCCGCCGCCCTCCCTGCAATTATCCAGAAACCTGCACAGAAACCATTTGTTCACAAAGCCATTCAAACTGAGATGTCTGTCAATTCATCGCAAAAGCTCCCAGTCAATGCTTTTGAGATCAAGCAATTCTCTCTGGACCATGACAAAAAGACAGTTTTGGATAAACACAGTTTCCAAACTTATGGAAATGACTTTCATCATGAAAATACATCTTTCATGCACGACGAAACCAATGGAATTAAGAATTAACTTCATTCTGTGACAGTCAGACTGCAGTGAGAAAGTAAAGCGAGATAAAACAGATAATTATTAGTGTGTGATATATATGTAAATATCAAACAAACAAGTAAAACATATGCAATATAAAATAATGTAAAGCTGATTTCTGGCTTGTTTTGATGCCTTCTGTAATTTAATGTAGTTATTTCAGAATTTGTATCACTCTGTTTCAGTGAACATTTACCTGTAACAGCCTAGCTATACTTTGTTAGCTTGTACTTTTTAATCTAGCTTGAGTTGGACCGACTGGCCGAATTTAAAAATATGTTATTGTCGAACAAGCTCATTATACTACAATCGTCTGGCTAGCAACAGGCAGGTACACGGACAACTCTTAACGGGGTCCTTCAGGGTCCTTTGAATGCATGTGGCGCGATATGGGAAACAGTGGAAAATAGTTTGACAGCAGGAGAGCCGAAGAGATTGTTATCACCATTTGGCTCTCTCTTTATCCAAGCAACATGTTTTCTGCTGAGCAAAGCTGTTGGTTTGTCCGCAAGGTGAGTCTTTAACTTAAGTCTTCATTCATAGAAGAGAAAAATGTATCGCGTGAGTTTGCGTTAATACATTACCGTTAGCCTCTCTGTTTATGCTAGCTGTGGCTGTAGCTAACATTCAGCTTTCATTAATCCACACAAAAGCACCAAAGTTACAAAAATATTAAGAAAATTGGCACAGTTTAAAAGCATATAGCATACAAGAAACCGGAGTAATTTGAAAAAAGTACATAGGATTATCAAGAGCAAAAAAAGCTTTGTTTTGAAATAAAGGCTAGGTAGCGCACGTTTGACAATTATAATACAAATACATCAACACATTTCAGTCTAAAGTTACGTTTTTTAATGAGATGAGTTTAAAAGACTTTGAGAAGTGAGCCAAATTCAGCAGGAATAATTTAAAAAGAGTTTGTTAGTCCTCTTGCACAAATGTAAACAGCGCTATGATTGAAACAAAAATATCTAAAAAGTGAAAAATGCAATTGTTTAATTAATTTCTCAACATGAGAATATTTCAACTTAAAATATATTTGTATAGAATTTTCCAGATACGGATGTCTTTTGTTTCAAAATGTATGTACAAACTCAAAGAAGTTAAGACAACAAGGAAAACAAAATGACCATAGCTATTACTTACATTATGAATGAATCGGTAAGCATGTCAGAAATGATAACAACAATATTCATCCCTTAACTTTTTTAACGTATATTCTCGAAGTTTTCAAACTGTCAATGTGAGTTAACATTGTGCTTGTTATGTATTTAATAATGACTGGCTGTTTTCTACAGGTGATTTGCTGGAGAGCTGTGGCGAGTATCGCTTGGGCTGTCCTGTTGTTGCCCCCCATCACAGCAGTGTTTGTGCTCCTCAGCAGGTTCAGTCTGCTTCACCCCATCCAGTCAGTATCAGGTCAGTGGTCATTGTGATATGAGACTCGTGACTATCTGAAGTTGTCTGAAGCTCACTGTAGACTTGTTTTTTTACATGCAGAATGTCTGTCCTTCTTAACGAGTGCAAGTGCCATCTTCTCCTTCATCCTGCTGTGTGGAGTCATCATCATGGTGGGGTTCCTCAACCTGGAATATTATACAGGTGAGAGACATGATGTCATTCTGAAATATTCCTGTGTTGTTGTTTTTGTTAAATAGTAAATGGCTTTGTCTCAAAGGATGTGCCTTGATAGTTTAGGCTTTTGGCTTAGCAGAACATAGATACATTACATGAGCTTATGCTGTATACAATACAGACTGTAGGGTTCATAAATCAGAAGTGACAGCTCACTGTGAAAGTAAATAATTGTATCTGCAAATGAAATAATTGGAATAACATCATTTGATACATCATTTCCTTATCAGGTTGTTCATTGGAGAGTGATGAAACACCTCACCTTTTCTGGACATTTTTTAATATATGTAATACTTTTCATACAGTATAACATACATCAATCAGTATAAAGCAGGATTCCAAAATGTGCACTTCTTGTCAATGATTCTAAATATAGATATCTTTTTTTTAATATATCAGTGTTGAGAAAAGTCTTGTGATTGACAGGCCAAGAATTGACCTCTAGCATATGATATTCTTCGGTTGTAAATCTGTTGTTTCTTTTCAGTCATCCCAACGATTGCATGCTCGAAAATCGCCCTGTTGGGTCAGCTGCTCCACCCTCGTCAGTTCGTCAACTCCCTGGCCCACTGCATCATGGGAATAATCGTGGCTTGGTGTTGTGCCATCGCCATCGGGGGCAGATATGAAACGATCGCCTACCCTTGCACACCGGGTGATGGGTAAGCAGTAGGGCTGCACGATATTGAAAAAAATTGATATTGCGATATTCTTTTCCCCTGCGATATATAGTGCGTTTTTTTTAACTATATTTAACCGGATGAAGGATTTTAGTCACGGACGTCTGGATCTTAACTGGTAGACTCATCATACCTTAAGTCATGATCTAACATGTCATGATAATGCAGGTTGATTACCCTCAGATAAGGGGGTTCATATGTGAATGAAGAAGAGTGGTGTCTAGAAGGGATCCAAGAGATTAAACGTATTACATTAAACTATAGGAAGCTTCATTATCTCATTAGGGAATTAACACACGTGACCAAATAGGTCATTTCACTTTTTATTCCACAATTAAAACCTTTTTTGTGCAAATAGCAGCAAAGTAGTTGACATCTTTTAAACAACATTATAAAAATACAATTAAGAACAGCTATACACCAGCTCCTTTATGCCGTTTTGAACCTTTCTCATATGGTGTAACACCGGCAAAGGAATCTGAAATAGTTGTTTGCTGTGCATGCAGACTCAGAGCCTGCATGTCGCTCCACTCAAGTACCCCTGACATGAGAGCCGCGCAAGTTTTCCTTTTGTAGAAAGCAGCAAAATAATTGTAACATGACGTGTTTGAGTTAATTTACCTACTTAATATCGAACGCCATAGATAAAAATAAAAATAAAATTCGCACGCCCCTGCGATGTGAATATCGCGCATGCACATATCACGGTTATCGCCATGACACGGTATATCGTTCAGCCCTAGTAAGCAGCACAACATAACTATCATGTTGACTATACATGCTTCATCCATTGTCTTAATTTCCTCCATTTGTTTTCAGCGCTGACAGTTCCCTTCAGATGTGTCTGAACGAGCATCACTTCATCCTTCTGCTGGCTGGAGCCTTCGTTGGATTATCTCACAGTATGCTGGGTGTGATCTACAACATGAACTATGTCCCTTTTCTCACTGTTCAGGTGTGTGATGCGACTCATTCATCTCCCTCATGATCATTAGGCAAGATGAAATACCTAAGATTGAAATAGTCTTACATTCTGTTATCATCCACTGTTAATGTTAACCCACTATTATTCCCTCCAGCAATACAAATACCTTCGCTTTAAGGGATCCCTGCCTTCGTTGGTGAAGTGCAGCGCCACTCAGGCCCTTTACTCTGTCAGGAACTACATTGTTGTGTATTTCTTTTTGGGTAAGTCATGTCTGTTTACATTGATCATTTCACTGCTAGGAGAGGCTTGAATGAATCGTTTTTTTAATACGCATACTTTTAGTTATTGTACCTGGTCTTCGTTTTTAACAGGATACATTCCAAAAGCATGGATTTGTAAAACACTGAATCTGCATTTGAACAGGTCAGTGTGGCTTCTGTGTTATCAAGTCTTTACAATCTGTTCAAACAATAATACATGCAGCCACTCACTGCTGTCTCTTGGACTCCATTAATGTCTTCCTGTGATCCCCAGCTCTGTCCACCCTCTTGACAGCATAGCTGGCCTGCTGGACCTCAACCTGCTGTACCAGCTGTGGGTCAGTGCCGGCTTCCTGCTCCTCACATGGCACGTCACCCTGCTGCTCTTTAGGATCTTTGTCACTGAGGTATGTCCATAGAAGACAAAATGTATACAACGGCTAATATTTCAAAAGCAAAGGTCTCACGTTGTGGTCGGTTATAAACATATATCTTTTTTTCCATTCTGTTTCTCTTCTGTACCGTGTAACTTCCCTTCCGATTATATATTATTCACCTGTCTCAAGCTCATTCAAAGGTTAAAGGTTAACATCAGTGCCAGCCGTCTGTGATGACCATTGACTCGGCCGAGTTCTGATAACCACATCTGACTGCCAATCTGTGCTCGCTATTGGCTTAAAAGTAAAGTGTTGTGTTGCAGGGACGACTTCAGTTTGCTTTTTAAATAATTTAAGGACACTAGGGGGCAATGTTGTCATAGCTTTGAGTGCTCAAGTGTCTGAAGTGCACTAGGCCTAACTTGTTTATAATATTCATGAACTTCCCAGGATTCCTCTCAAGTGATCAATTCAACTTGCATTTAGTAGCTTGAAACTAATAATATATGTCCTGCTGTTATCTGCAGGTGTACAGCTTTCCTGTGCAGTCTTCTTTTACCGAGGATGCCCATCAGTGTCTTCCTAAAGTTATTACCGGCAAGCAGCCCATGATATTAAAGGTGAATAAAACACATGGTAACTCTCTTCTAATTTTCGCATTTGGTTATTGTAACGATTCTTTTCTCCACATGTCAGTTTCTAGCTCTGCAGGACCTTGCTCTGCTCTCTCAACACTCCCCATTGAGACGCTCGGAGGTCTTCAGTCTCAGTCAGCCAGGTTTGTCCGCTAGAGGTCCTTTCTTTGACTGCTTTTGATTGACCTTTTGTAACATACTTCTTGACACACTTCAGATTGTATGTAAAGTAGAAAAAATGTATTTATCTGTTCATTCTTGTCTCAACAGGTGGCCATCCTCACAACTGGAACGCCATCAGTAAGGAGTGTCTGTCTCTTCTGAATGATCTGACCCAGAGACTCATAGCCTATCATGACACTGTAGCGACCAATGGCCGAGCCAAACCCCTTTCTACTGGGAGTGAGAGGAAGACTTCATCTGAGACATCAAGTATGTTATTCGAAAACATAGAAATGTCATAGTTTTTTTTACCTGTGCTCTTTATCCTTTGAGGACTCCTCCCTAGCTATTCTGCATATAAAATAAACCTTCCATTGTGTCCCATTGTTCTTTATCAAATCGACCTCAGGTACAGAAGATCTGATGAGCCCGAGGCCCATGTTTCTGATGAAAACCCCAGCGTCAGTCTTTGCTCGCTCCTTTGTTGGCGCCTCACAGAGCCCTCTGACAGCGCCCTTCACTAGTCCTGACCCGGACAGCCCCTTTGCTTCTCCCGCTCTGCGGCGTCTGACTGCTCCTGCGGACCCGTGTTCCCCGTGGTTCGGCTCAGTGCAGAGCCCCCACATCATGAGGAGACTCCCAAAACTCTGGTCCACCCCCACAGGTGAGAGGAGGTCACTCGGACGAAACACCTTGATCCAGTATTTACATGTTCAAACTGTGGTTCATACTGTAGCTCTGAAACTAATGGTAGTATTTTGAGTCCATTCATAATATCACCAGAGGGTTTGACGCGTTAGGTATGACATCATCTCCACTTTTTAATTTTTTTCACTTACATTTTTATTGACATTTTTATAATCATACAAAACCACATATAGTTCAGTATACACTTGAATTAGAAACCCATTGAAGAAGAAAATACAAATAATAATAAAAACAAGCAAACAGTGGAAGCTTTCTATCCTATTTTAATGCAACATCATGGTCTGGTTCCAACTCTCAATTTGTGGTGTCGTTCATTTTTCTTTTATATTCAACCCATTTTTCCCATTTGGACTCAAATTTCCCTTCCTGGACCCTCAATATGTGTGTGAATCTCTCCATATCAAATATTTCCTGTACTACTCCCAGCCATTGCTCCTTTGTAGGTGGATCTGCTTTGTACCATGCTCCAGCAGCACCTTAATCAGGTATCTGTCCCCACCCTGTGTGTTTTCCTGCACCAGATTCCCCAAGTATAACATCAGGCCGGTCTTAGGAACCTCATAACCTAATATCCCCTTCAATACTCCCCATACTTCCTCCCAGTATCCCTTCATCTTTTGGCATTATCATCTCGACTTTTAAGTGGGTCAGGGTATAATTACATTGGTATTCAAATAAAAAATAGATATCGGCAAGTCAACGTTTTACTGCTGGTTCCCCCTTTTGTGATTTAGTATCTCTGTTCAGATTCACAGGTCAATGGAAGTCCCCCAGCGTCCCCTTCCTCAGTTCCCAGTCCCAAACAGGAACCGTCCAAACCAAGTCTCCTGGCTCAGTTCCTCCAAAACAGGAAAGAACAGGTATTTCAGTCTTGTCAATACAGAATGACAGTATATCATTATGTGTATACAGTGTTAACAAAGGCTTTCACACATGTATTAACCCTGGGCTAACGAAAGTAATCCCACAGAGGGGGTCTCTCTCTCTCTCTCGTCTGATTTTCATGATTTTCCAAAGCCAACAATCCTTTACGCCCTGATGGGCCAGGAAGGCGAAGGCCAGAAGATGGACATAGCACTAGTAGTTGCGCCACTTTTTTTTTTCACAGCTCAATCACACCAATCATTTCTGTGCTGCCACTGGAGAGAAGAATCAGGAGGAGAGCCACAAATGTTCGGAACATGTGTCCTATCTGTAGCCTGGCTATTGATTCCCTACTTCTGCTTCATGAAGTCACCATCTGGTGGAGTGCAGAGTTGATCAGGGTTTCCTTAGCCCGGGGTTAAGTGTGAAACGCCATTATTGCTACGTGTGTTTCATTTTGTTGTTGTTTTTAAAAGTGAAACAACTTTACACTTAATCGTCCCATTCAGGTTAAACATTTCTTGGCAAAGCGCGTGCTGATAATGTATTTGTTTAACAAGGTAAGGATGTGTGGCATGTGAACACGGTGAGGGCTTCTTTGCATGTTCTCATCGTGTTTCACCAAATCTANTATTTGTCTCAAAAAGCGTGGGATGTTGGTTATTTTCTCCATCTAGGAGGACACCAAAAGCCTCCCAGACGTTGGATTTCGCTCTTGAGGAAGTGTTGGAAAATGCTGTATTCTCCGCTGGAGAGCTTCACCTCAGCCATTCAGAATGTGGCGCGCTCAGAAGCAGATTGATTCCAACACTTCCTCAAGAGCGAAATCCAACGTCTGGGAGGCTTTTGGTGTCCTCCTAGATGGAGAAAATAACCAACATCCCACGCTTTTTGAGACAAATATGCAACTGCGTGTGTTAATAATTGCACGTTTTCACTGCTCATATATATATGCGGGTTCGGGTCGGGTTGCGGATCCTGTGCCAACGGGTCGGGTCGGGTTGCGGAACTAATTGGTAATATGTGCGGGTAGCGGGGCGGGTTCGGTATTGCACGTCGCGGGTGCGGGGCGGGAGCGGGTCTTGAAAATCAGACCCGTGCAGGACTCTGAGTGGAACAGGAAGACATTTCTGAAGATGAGGATAATGTGGAGGTAATCTCAGAATTTGACAGCGAATTGGAAGATGAACTTGACTCAGCCAGCTGCTGGAAGACCCCCACAGCCAGCCGCAAGAAGACCCCCACAGCCAGCCGCAAGAAGACCCCCACAGCCAGCCGCTCAAGGACCCCCACAGCCAGCCACAGTAGGAGAAGAGGTGAAGACATACATGTCAAAGAACGGCAGGATTGAATGGTGTTCATCCCCAATAAGTGAGCCCATTCGCTTGTCTGCAAATATAATAAGGATGGTACCCGGGCCGACACGAATGGCAGTGACGCATGCTCATGAAATCAAGTCATCATTCCAGCTTTTGATGCCAGACTTAATACAAAACATCATATTGGACATGAACAATCTTGAGGGGAGACGGGTTTTTGGGAAGGAATGGAAATAATTGGATATTACACATGTGCATGCATACTTTGGCATCCTTATTCTTGCAGCTGTGTATAGGTGAAGAGGGGAGTCCACTGAGAGTCTATGTGATCCTGAAACAGGGAGAGCCATTTTCAGGGCAACAATGTCTCTTGAGACTTTTCATATTTTTTCAAGGATCGTCAGGTTTGATGACAGGGAGACCAGACCTGCTAGACGACGAAGGGACAAGTTGTCAGCAATCCGCACAGTGTGGGACAAGTGGGTGCAGCGGCTTCCATCTCTCTACAACCCTGGGCCAAATGTTACTGTGGATGAACGGCTTGTGGGGTTTAGAGGCCGCTGCCCTTTCAGACAGTACATTCCCTCCAAGCCAGCAAGGTATGGAATAAAAATCTATGCTGCCTGCAATTGCCTCCGACTTTGTGTTCACAGACAACACTGCCCTGGATACCAAAAAAAGGGCAGAAATATCATTCTCATGAGCACATTACACAGAGATGCAAAGATCAGTGGCCGTGAGGACCGTAAGCCAGATATAATACTTGATTACAATGACACCAAAGGAGGAGTAGATAACTTGGATAAGCTGCTGTCCTGCTACGGCTGCCAAAGAAGGACCTTGAGGTGGCCTCTTGTGATATTCTACAACATCCTGGATGTCTCTGCTTACAATGCCTTTGCACTTTGGATGGCAATAAACCCAGAATGGAACCAAAAGAAGCTCCAAAGAAGAAGCATTTTCTGGAGGAGCTTGGCAAGGCACTGGTGACTGGTGACCTCACATGCAGCGAAGACAACACATGCCCAGGAACCCAGCCTCTGTTGCTATATTGAGGAAGATGGTGGCAACTCCTGCTGCTACACCCGCACGGCCAACACAACCACACCAACCTGCAGTGCCTGAAGTAAGTGGTGTGTGTGTGTGTGTGTGTGTGTGTGTGTGTGTGTGTGTGTGTGTGTGTGTGTGTGTGTGTGTGTGTGTGTGTGTGTGTGTGTGTGTGTGTGTGTGTGTGTGTGTGTGTGTGTTTTCCAGTGTTAGGAGATGTGGCAAAAGGAAGCGCTGTGAGGTCTGTGGACCCTTAAAGGATTCCAAGACACAGACTACATGCAGCAACTGCAACAAGTACATCTGTGCTATACACACAAAGAAGTTCTGTACATCATGTATTTCCTAAACGGACTTGCCCATTGACTCACATGATGTTCTGCAGCGTCACTTTATCAATATATTTTTCGGATNGTGTGTGTGTGTGTGTGTGTCTTTTCCAGTGTTAGGAGATGTGATGAAAACTATTTCTGAACTAATACATATGCTACTGTTCTAGATTGCACCCTGTGCCAGCAAAAGGAAGCGCTGTGAGGTCTGTAGACCCTCAAAGGACTCCAAGACACAGACTACATGCAGCAACTGCAACAAGTACATCTGTGCTGTA